CAGTTACATTTATTCATACAGGTGGTTATCTGCCCACCTAACTGTTTAGTATCCAAATACTATAATTATTATATCTTAAATTGGATCAACAAAGAATCTGAATCTACAACCAGTTATTAGGGAATGATACATTTTAGAAACGCCACTGTTGTGTCTTTAATAATATATCTTAACCAGAGAACAGCACTGTTATTAATACATCAAGTTGTTATTGTTAGTATCAATTATTCTATGTATTTGAAGTAACAAGAACAATTTTATACATCTAATTAATCATACTGTTTATATTTTCCTTTATTTATACACTAATTATATATATATATATATATATATATATATATATATATATATATATATATATATATATATATATATATATATATATATAACGCCACCTAATCCCAAACAAAGGGGGAAGAAGGTATTGTTAGTAATGGGGATTTATAACAATATACCCTGTCAGGTCGACCTTCTCGTATTTCCCCCTGGAAACCATCGTGTTTAATTTATTGTTAAATTCATTACGGTGGGTTAACTGGCCTGCTTCATCCTCACCTATCATCCCTCACTAGTGGCCTGCTTGGGGGAAAGGGATTGTTAGTAATGGGGTCAAATAGCCCCATTACGAGCAATATACCCTGTCAGGTCGACCTCCACGTGGTTCCCCCTGGAAACTATCGTGACTATCATCGTTCTAGTAGAATTCGTCAGGATGGGCTAACTGACCTACTTTCATCCTCATCTGTCATCCCTCACTGGTGCTCCGTCAGTGTATATAGATAGCGTAGACAGGGTTACCATACCATTGTCACCCATTAAAATAAAAAACTAGTGCCGAGCCAGTGTATAACGATAGCGCAAGCGGGGTTACCATTTCATTATCATCCATTAAAAAAAATCCCAAACTAAGCAACGCTTATACGATAAGTACAATATAACTGAAATATATAATTTAATACATACATATTATATATAGAAAATACCCAAATTAATACAATCATACAAACGATAAATTGTATTGTGCGGGTACCGAATCCACGACCATCAGAAGATTAGTTGGTGTATTAAACCACCTAGATCACGTAATTACGAGTACAATTGGAATCTTGATTGTATTTAATCGTTAGCAAATATAATAAAATTGTAACTGGATGGTGTCTGTACATGGTAATTATATAAAAAAAAAAGGATGTAAGAAATTTCGATAGGAGCAATAAAAGACAATACAATCATTTTTAGGAATTTTGTCTGTCTATCTAACTGTCTAACCATCTGTTTATTTGTTCAAGCATTACGCAAAAACTACTACACCAAATTGAATGTGATTTTCACTGTTGTATTCCTGAAAGTATAACTTAAAAACTGGTCTACATTTTATCTCGATAAGACATATAGAAATAAGTCTATTTCCTATTTCAGAAAACCACGCGTGTGATAAGTTAGTTATATAATAAAGTTCTTAGCATATTACACAGAGCTGGCAACACTGTAGCAGTATTTTTTTGCGTCGGAAACATTCTACTTGAACGGTTATTACAAAAAGCACGAGTGCAAAGTCCTAGGGGACATGTTTATGTTATAAAAAAATTGTAATGTCGTCATGGCCGGCTCCCTCATGCCCTTATTCGTCTACTAGCCAGACAGGTCTGGCGTTCACTCATGCATAGAGTAGTGATGGGACGAATCGACCTCAGTCGAGTAAATCATCGATTAATTTTCATAACAAACCATTATAACCTATGTCTATGGAAATTTAAAATAAAGTAAAGAAAAAAAATTACACGAAACAGGAACTTCATTAATATGACGTGAGGACCGAAGTAATTAAAGTCCTTAAAAACTAATTGCTGAACTTTCTTTTTAGCATTTTTTTTTAATCAAAAGTAGAAACATTAAAAGATTTATTTATTATATATTTTTTTTCTTAAATAACATTAAAATTCATACAACACGCTACTTCCTTCAACAACTACCTACGAACTTTGTAATAAACGGATAAAAATTTCAAATCGACTCAAACTACATGTAAAAAGCAATAAATATTTATCGAGAGTACGTTATTCGAATGAACAAAGTGCTCAACGTTGTCTCGCCACGAGATACTGCTTCGCGACCGAAAATAAATAACCAAGTAGAGGATCAAATTCCATATAAACCCCATCATGTTGGCGTTGGACGGGTTATATAATACTATGGTTTTAATCGCTAGAACGGGATAAAGCATATGCATGAGTGGTGTGAGAACGAGACAGATATATTCGTTTGTAGAATATCGTTCCGATGAGTGGTCCCGTTCGCGTCATTGCGTTGCATCGCTGACATCTTTTGTATATTTTATCTTTACTTTTAGAAGACGGATATGTACTTAATTACTTAGATAAATACACATTTAGTATATAGATAGATAGATATATGATTCATTTGCATTACTTAAAACACACAAATACCAAAAGACATAGATAGATAGATACACATAAAACGAGGTAAAAAGAAAATACATAAAAGAAGTAATATTGTTGGGAGGGCAAGGGATTGTTAGTAATGGGGTCTAATTTCCCCATTACTAGCAATACATATTCCAGGTGGAACCGCGTAGAGGTTGACCTGATACCCTATCAGGTCAACCTCTACGCGGTTCCACCTGGAAACCACCTCGGTTAAATCCTAGCAAATTTGTCACGATGGGCCAATTGACCTACTGTCATCCTCACTTTTTATCCCTCACTGACTCCCCATCAGCGTATACCGATAGTGTAGGCGAAGTTACCATTGCATTTTCATCCCATAGAAAAAATCAGGCAGGAAGCAATTATGTATTAGAATCAGTTAGTAGGTGCATAACCTTTGAAATTCACGCACCACTGTGCCAGACTACTCACAGCTATAATTTAACATTAAATATAATTTACGTAAACGCAATAAAACTACCATTTACTTATCAAATTGACAGGTGTCTGAACGTGGAGATTTCAATAATCGGTCTTATTACGGAGAAATAGAGGTGTAACTGACAGTTTGGTGCGCAAGCGCAGGTTTCCGCGTCACAGACAATGCGCGGGCGCCGCTCTCATCGCTATGGGAATCGGGTCTTAGTTAGGGCTGCCTCGATTTATTTTTATAGTTCTAATGATCACGTTGGTGCGAAGACGTATGAATGTGTAGGCGAAAGGTTCGCATACGAGATAATGGCATTATAAGTTCTATTTGCAGGCACTGTTCAATGTGAGGTGTGAAAATCTGCACCCTTCATCTCGAAGCTATTTATTGCAGATGATGAATGTATACTTTACTTGAGTAATCTTTTGCAAAATAATATTGGCTAGGCAAAGCAAAAATAATTAAGTGCATGTTATGTTTTCTTTTTATTAGTGTCTAGCGATCCGGTCCGGCTTTGCACGGACAGATAGAATTTTCGAAAATTATACAAGTATACGCTATTATGCTGATGATATAGCGTTCTTTAGGGGAAAGTATTAAGAAAATCGGTTGAGTTGTTTTTAAATTTATGCATTCCAAATAATATCTTTCCTCTTCATAGTATACATAGACAGGTTTTAACTAGGACTTATCTCGCTGGAAAGGTAAAGTAAGGACCTACTAAAGGCAACACTAAATTGAGAAGCGCTTATCCAGAAGATACTATTACTTATCATAAATTCGAATATTTCGAAATTAATATTTAGTATAATTATAGAAAAGTAAAAATAGAAATTAAGTATATAAATATTTCAAAGTTTGGATGCAGAATGGTGAAAAACAAGGCTTCAAGTAATGATTTGAATAATTTGCCTGAAGATGTCTCGTTTAGAGGTGGAACACATATCACAATACGAACATGTACAAAACTGCCGTCGAACATTAATAGCTAATATGGAACTTCTAATAGTAATAGTGGTGATCAAACTTCGAGTGTTGGCAGTCACACACAAACTAATGGTAGCGGAATTAAACAAAATAATTATAATCAAATAACCAGTGTTATGGACTTTGGTAAAATAATACCTAGTTCACTAAAATAAGTACTAGGTATATAAATATGTTCTACAAACAAATTAATCTTTAATGCAAACTATAGTAACATTTTTAAATTTTATAACTTTAACCATAATCTAATTTGAAAAATTTAAATTGCATAATTTTGCAAGCATAATTTCTAAAACTGCCAACCTTAAGCATTTATATCTCCAACTCCCTCACACGCTATTGTCTCTGTCTACTTAATGATAATCATCAGGCGACCACCGTCAACCTAGGAGCAAATTGTAACTCCGCAACGTCAAGTCTTGCATCATTTACCGTTTCGTGGAGAAATCTTAGATTGTATCCACAATGGTGCTGTTTAGATAACCCCAGTAAATAAGGGGAATTAACTTACTGATTAGAAAGTTAACGCAGTTTACAAAATCTATTTCTACGCGATGTCTCTTAAGGTTGGCAGAGAGAATCGAATGCGAACTAAGTCCAAGACGAAACTCTCTTACATATGTAAGTGCGTATACCACGTGCGTATACAAAACAAGTTATGAATGTGGATGAAATAAAAAATGTATACTGCACATACTATGAAAGAAAAATATTAGCTACATACACAATATTGTATGTAAAATAGATAATATGTACCATAGATAATATTTAAGTAATTTCTTTGTTGACGTTGTTTAAAAGATAGGTTGCCATTATGGTGAACATAAGAGTCGATATGTACACATTTTATCGACGAAATCAGATTCGGCCAATATAAATAATGAATAACCGACTGATTATAGTTTATTTACATTATACAATATAGAGAATAAACCAGACTGTAAAGACAGGATTGTATAAATATAGTAAGGCGGTCTTATTGTTGAAAGCAATCTAAGACAACCTTAGTTTCAATATTTATGTTCTCGAATACATTAGAATACAACTTGATACACGATATTCCTATTGATCAAATCTGATAGCATCAAAGGAAATCATTCCTCATTAATAGAAAGTAATAATATTGACAAACTTACCAGGCATGCAGACACATCGAAAGGTGCCAGGATCGTCGAGACAGGAGCCGTCGTTCCTGCAAGGGTGGCTCTCGCATTCGTTCACGTTGGTCTCGCAGCGTGGTCCGGTGAAGCCGACTGAGCAGTTGCAAGCGAAAGAGCCAGGAGTGTTAACGCAAATACCATCATGTTCGCATGGAGAACCTGAAATGGAAGCGTAAGTTAAAGCAAATGTAACACACGTACGATATTTTTTTTATACTACTGAGGTGGTGGGGGAAGGGATTGTTGGTAATGTAGGCTACTAGCCCCATTGCTAGCGATATACTCTATCAGGTCGACCTCCACGTGGTCCCCTCTGGAAACCATGGTGCTGAATTCCAGGTGTATTCATCACGATGGGCTAACTGACCTGCGTTATCATTCTCACTTATTATCCTTCACGGGCGTCCACTTGATGGTAAGCGGTTACCGTAGCCAATAAACGCCAGCTAACTACATTGCTATATAGCTAAGTATATTGGTCATCCCCACTGCTGTCATCAGCATAACTATGAATGTCACCTAAAGTTACCATATCATTAATATGCAGTAGAAACAGTATTGGGGATAGCACAGAGCCCTGCGGAATGCCAGCGTAAATGTCCATGCTATCGGAGCAGTAACCATCTATAACGGTTTTTACGAGTCTGCCGGACAAAAAGCTGGTAATCCATTTACAAAGACTCTCGGAAAGTCCGTAGTAGGATAATTTCGATAGAAGACCGCGATAATCAGAGGAAGACTTTAAAACCTCACAAAAGACAAAAGACGTCTCTTTAGATACTTCTATCTCAGTCGTGTTTTGCCGTTAAACAGATGTGCTGGCATGACTGCTTCACTTTGAAGGGTGAGATTTGGTAGTAAAATTACAGAGTCAATCATCATCGTATCAACCGTTCACTGCCCATTCCTGAACATAGGCCTTCCCCATAGGTGGGTTTTGGCTGAAATATTTATTTACTACACAATAATGTATTCCATACAACCATAGAAGACATAAACTTACAAATATCACAGCACACTTAGATAATTCAAAATAGGAATAATTATTTTTTAAGATCCATAAACAAAATGTCAATAAACGTCATTATTAATATAAGCGCCTCAAACATATTTATATTTAAAAACTAATATACTAAACAAACAGAACATGTAGTTAAAAGCCTTTTACGTACACAATCACTAATCTATAAAAATTTATGGTCAAATAAAAATCGACTGACTGAATCGACTAATTTATAGTTAATATCCAGCTGCGTTATCAACAATTTACCCATTCTGGAGTCTATTACAATTATGATCATCTAATAAATCGATTTAAGAATAAATATTGCCAAACTGTAAAATTAAGTAAAGATCACATCAATATCGCCTACGAACTCACCGAACAGAGGAACTTAATCATTATCGAGAATATTCAAACAATGATCTAAGTTTATTGACACTAAATAAGTCATTGATTGTTTGCGATGTATTTAACTACGAGTATTTTATCTTACCTTTTATTAATATAATAAAATTGTAACTAAAAAAATAAAATTATGCAACTTACAATGACAAACAAGCTGACAGCCCACCTGATGGAAAGTGGTAACCGTCGCCTATAGACATGAGCAGTACCATGGACATAACAGAGTATACTGTTTCGCCCATGATACCTCCCATGCGTTGCCATTTCTAAGGACTCAGGTATTGTTCCTCTGTACCCCGTAAATTCTCTTCTATATCTCACCCTTCAAACCGAAACAGCCATGCAAACACAACTGCTTCACGGTAATGACACAGAGGTGCCCAAACACGATTTCTGTACAAAGTCTCCCTCTGATATTAATGAGAAATGTTAATATAACTATGCCAAAAGACATGAAATAGGCATAAAATATTTTCGGAATTTCGGGCCCGAATGAAACATAAATTTGATGTTAAAATTATATAATATGTACATATAATTTAAAAACAATAAAAAATTTTGAACTTTTATGGCGGAATTTATGACGAACAAAATTTTAAGTTCCATTTATTTACTGGGCCGATTTTGGTATAATTAATAATTAATTCGAAATTAAGTCCGAAAATTCGAAATTACATTTTATTGGTTTTTCTACTTATGAAATCCATAGGTACGAAGCAGCGAGCAAAATGCTAGCTACATGTATATATAAATCTTCAATGCAATTTCATTTCAAATATACCATTTAATTGTATTTTTTTTCTTTTTTTTATATAACTTAAAATGTCAAACAAGCTGACGGCCCACTTGATGGAAAGTGGTATCCGTCGCCTATAGACTTAAGCAGTATCATGGACATAACAGAGTATACATTTTCGCCCATGATATCCCCCATGCGTTGCCATTCCTGAGGACTCAGGTGTTATTCCTCTGTACCCAGTAAATTCACGCCACATCCCACCCTTCAAACCAAAACACAGCCATGCAAACACAACTGCTTCACGATTGAAACACGAATGGGACTATATAATTTCGAAATAAAAGTATAGTAGTTAGTAAACATAAAGAACAGAAGCTACAGTGATCGTTTACCGTCAGACGGAAAGTATGCTTGTTTACCTTCGTGGTGTATAGAAGAATAAAGAAAAATCTAATTAAAAAGGTTACCTTGTTCGCACTCATTAATATCTTCAGAGCAGTCGAGACCTTTGTAACCTGATGCGCATGAGCAAGTATAAGAGCCGTTGATAGGACTCGTATCGCAAATAGCATCAGCATGACATGGATTTGAGGTGCATGCGTCGTCTAGGTGACACAATAGACCTAGAAAAACAAATAAATAATTAGTGCTTTTACCTCTTTATTGAGATTGCGCACTTACATGCACTAATATGAAAATTGATTAATATCTACAAAAGAGAAAAAAAAACATACCAGTCTTTCCAGGAGTACATTTGCAGTAGAAAGAGCCGACCCTATCAATACATGTGGCGCCATTGAAACAAGCGGCGCCTGCGCAGTCGTCGATGTTCACCGAACACTCCGGTCCAGTCCAACCATTGACGCAGATGCAAGAGAAGCCGCCTACCGAGTTGGTGCAAGTCGCGCCGTTCTGGCATACCAGAGGTCTAGGGAAAGAAGAATAAGAGATTAACAATAGCATAGTAAAATTTGAAAATATTACAAAAAAACTTTATACATACTACTTAATAATTAACAATAATTCTATACTTTGCACGCATACTAATGGTAGAGGTATTAAATATTTTTTTTTTCTAATCAATTAGCCAGTGAGCTAGTCATATGGACTTCCGCAAAATACATCTAACTCAGTAAAATATTTAAAAAGAAAACCTGTTCCAGATTGCTAATCTTACTAATACATATTAAAATAATATACTCCAATAATATATAAATTATCTAATACCCATGTTTACAGTAATTCTAGTAATTTCTACACACATAAACAAATAGGCGTGCGACGGAGATGCGAATCTTACAAGTTTGTAGAACCTATTACCAGTGCTCTCAGTAGATAGTAACTACGTTCTAAACTTTCTACCCACGTAAATACCCTTACATCCATATATTGATATAATCAAAATCAATATAGAACGGATAAATATTTAAGTGGAATTTATATTTATGATTTTCCAACAGCGATAAGAGTAAAAGGCGATAAATTTAACAATCTCACTCTATAAAATGCCCTAACAGAATATACCAGCACTCCTCTCATATTTCAGATGACACCAAAATTACAAACAGCTTATTAAAGTTGCTCTATTAAAAAGCAGTGTAAGGTGATCAAAGTTTGTGCTGGAGACGCGACTCGATAATCATGCCGTTACAGTAAATATGCTGTTGAGAATTTCCAGTTCTTTTTCTGCTTTTAAATTGCTAATGCCCTATAGTATAAACACCGGGAGCGGCGTTAAAAGCCGAATTGACCAGACCCGAAAATCGTGCGTCATGATTTTGTCCGGTATCAAAGGGCGCCGACAGCTCACGACGCATATTTAACTTGGCCGCACCTTTTAAATGTCACTTATTAGCACATTTTAGCAGATGTTGTCGTGAAAGCATAATTTTATTGCGAGTATTCTGAACATTACAAGGGGCATGCCCTCTAGATGGATTGTCGCTGTATTTCATTTACTTTAATGCTAAGATTTTGAGGTTTTTTAACAATACACTTTTGGGAGAGATACCTGTGCTCTGCTTCTTCGGTAAACCATAAACAACAATTATTTGTTTTAAGGACAATCTTAAAACCAGAGACATTTTGTACAAAAGTTGTCTACTTGGATATTTTTGTCACACTTGTGTTTCTGCTGTTAAACAGCAAGCACATGGATGTATTTGAGTTTGGGAAGTGGTGTATGAATGTAAAATTATAATACGAATCCCATAGTTCTCAGGAACATAAGCATAAGAAATACCATGAGCCTGAATACATATTTTACTATGTCTATGATGCTAATTATATCTATAAAGGAGCTGTCAACTTGATCGCCATTTTAAGTATCATTAAAAAACTCATGCAAATAATACCTTTATATTTCAATGTATGATTTTCTAAATGCACATTTCTCTAAATAGTTAAAGAACGGAGATTTATAGGCCAACCCCGGCTATTGAACGATACAGAGGGCGCGGCACTGGCACCGGCGCGCGTGCTCTTGCGCATATCTGATCAAGCATTAACTTCTAATATTGTAAAAGCTTTTCCGGACAAGTATTTGCTACATAACTTGCATTAACTAAATTTGATTAATATCCCTACTAAAATTATAAACGTGTAAGTTTGTTACTTCTTGACACCTAACGGTTCAACCAATCATTATGTAATATATACGTACGTATATAGGATGAAAAAAGCTATTATTCCTGTCAATAAACATATTCTTATCACAGAGACCAAATCGCGGGTAATTGCAAGTTATGCATCATTAGGCCCTAATTTTGGCAAAGGACCAATATTGCTCATTATACCACTAACAAATTGGAAGAGAGACAGAATATTAAAAAAAAACAAGAAGGATTTTGGTATTAGGTATTCATGGAGTGATAGTTTTATATTACTATGAGAAATAAAGAAAGCTAAAGTATAGATCAAAGAGTCAGGATGGGCTAATGGTGTAGGAAGCAGATTTTTTAATAAAATAATTTACTTAATGAAAGAGGAATCAAGTAAGAGAAATCATATAAGAAACATGAAAGAAAATATGATTTAGATCGTCCACATCTTTATCACATTCCCAGATGTTATTCTCTAATATATGAAGTTTTGCTAAATAAGCAGGAGTAAGAGATGTCATAATACTGAAATTCATATTTAAGTCATCAATCAGTACCAATATAAAAAAAATCATGCTAAATAGTTTAAATACTCTACATGTACTGTTCTATCTTCAAAGGTATTTCCATGAATGCTATTCTATTGCAACAATTGACTCAAACATTTATGTTTACGTTGAAGTTTAACCCCATTATGATGAGTGCCTTTTGAATTGTATAAGCACTCGAGCAAGTTATAAATCAATGCAGACTTTTAGTTCCAACACTTACAATAAAGTGATAGGATGAGTCTAATTTATAAGTGGGAAGCGAGATGTTAGAGCGAAGAAAAATTAATAGTAAATAATGTCAAAATACAGATCATTGAAATTTTTACAATTTAATCAGATAATAAAAAAAGAGAAAAGAATTAATATTTTAACAGCTTCGTCAATTTAATATTAAAATTTAATTACAAGTAGAAACATACAACATAGATACAGTTGTAGGACTTCTACTTAAAATATATTAGAGAAAAACTTATTATAACTATATTATAATAATAGTAATATAAAATAGATTGTTATTTTCTCAGCCTAGTGTTCCAAACTCTAGTCAACTGCGCTTATTTTGAACAATAATATGAATTTTAGTGCATTTTAATCTAAAAACTCAGTAGGTCATTGTAAACTTTATATACTGATGATTTTAAACTTTAAATAACCCAAACAATACCAGCAAATATACGACTAAAACTTTGAAAAGAATAGTAGAGGTGTCATCATTCATAGAATATAAAAACTTTAGGTTCCATAATACTCCGAAAGAACATAATGAGTAACTATTTAAGAGCTTTGATGTGTTGATTATTAAAAATTAAATACTTATAACAAAATAAATTAATAATATTATCGTTGATATCGCTTCATCTTATGACTTTCTACCTGTTACTTAGATCAAGTTATAAAACTCTCAACCGCAATTTAATATTCAGAATAGACTTTTAGATCGTAAATTCGGAATGAGTGGTTATAAATTTACGAGTCTTAAACCATATTGACACACGGCGTGGATAAATTTATATAACAATTCTCTATCAATTAAAAAATATAGCTAATTGAAGATTTTTAATTAAAATTTTTATAACGAATGCTCAGGTTTTTGAGTGAACTCCCTGTCAAGTTTATCCTTGAGGACTATAGTATATCTTTGGTCCCTTCAGTCATTCATTGTCTACTGTTGAATGAATACCTTCATAAACTGTTTCAACGAATCTGGAGCCACAGTGTCAACTAATTGCAACATATTTTTAGTAGTAGCCTGCTAAAAATATTAGAAACGGCTCAGAAATATCTGGAGTCGGGTTAAATACTTTTATTATAATTATGTATATTAGCACACTAGATTTGTAACATTGATTTGGCTTTTGCTTTGATTTGCTATTATAATGTTGTAAATATTTTTAATGAATAAATAAATATTAGGTCAGGAAGGGTAGAGATTGTTAGTAAAAGGGAATAGCGTCCAATTGTTTGAAATATACTCTGACAGATCGACCACTTTGCGGTTCCCCTGGAAACAATTGTGGTGTATTATTAATACATCCGTCACGATGGATCACCTGACCTGCTTTCATCCTCACCTATCATCCTTTAGTAGTGCCTCGTCAGCGTATACCGATGGTGCAAGAGGAGTTTCTATTGCATGATCATTCATTAAAAAAACATATTAGTATTTAGTAGTATTGCTACCTAAAAATTTTTCTTTACCATCAATTATCAGTTCTTTGAGTTATGTACGATCTGTTGTCACTTGTACTGATCTATCCGATTCTAAATTATAATTATTAATTTTACGAAGTATAGAAAATCGTCTTTTAGCTGTATAAGATTAGCAGTACTGTAATAATATTATATTATTACAATAACAATCATTCGGATCGTAAGAATTTGCTTGAACATTTTACGACACAAGTTGAACTGTTTATTTTTCAAAAGAGCAGTAAATTTTTCAACAAAAACGTCTTGTCATTTAAATTAGACCAGTTTCATTTTACGACATGACGTGTTAATCAAATGCTGTTACATTTTTTTACTTTTCTCACACATTATTTCAATATTAAGACACCAATTTTATGTAAATATTTAACTATCAAGATGATATCGTGGAGTTTAATACCTTATACTAAAGAATTAAAAAATCTCTCTATCCACAGGAGGAGCCATATCTTAAAATAATGTACACGAAGACCTTTTTTATGTAATTTGGAATGGTAAATAAACTGTTGGCTCACCTGATAAAAAAACTGTCGTTTATTAATATGCAATCATTGAGAGGTACCTTACCATATCAGCTGTTAACCGTCCACTGCTGAACATAGGCCTCCCCCAAAAAGGGGGCTTTTGCCAGTAATTGCCACGCTTAGCAGGCAGGTTGACAATCGTAGTTAAGCTTCTTATGAAATTTTAAGAGGAACATTCCTGACCATTCTCTAAATCATAAGTAGCTTACTTTAGGATTAAGTGTAAGTTTTTTTTTATTTGTTTAAACACTTTAAGATGTCCATATTTACTATAGTACTGTTATCACAACTAAATGGCATGTCATTTAAAAAAAATCATTGTAATAATTAGTTTAGACGTTGTGAGTAAATTTCAAAAACACTAATATACACGTTCTTTTCTTCTCGTTTTTACATAAGCTCTCTTTGAAAAATCAAATTCAATCTCTCTAAAGTCTTCTTCTGTTTTTTCTATGTAATATTACAATATTGTAGCAACAAGTGCAAATAATTTAAAAACCTATTTTCACATAATTGTAATTATTTATTTATACTTTATTCCACACA